TGAACAAAAGAGCGAAGAAATGTCAATATTCATATAACTTTATATTGTGATACCTTTAATAGTAGTGAACTTTTCAATTTGTCCTTTTGAAAATTTCGGTTACAGGTACAAGATACCACAATGCAAACTAGTTGAAATCAAATATGTGACAGAGATGTGGAGATGGGATACAAATTTTAGAAGACTTAGGCTAGGTCACAAAAATCAAATAACGTGTTTCTCCTTTGGGGCCATTTTCATTTTTTCTTCCTTCTCTCATGGCTGAGATAGAAGCTCTTTGAAGGCTGCAGTTGCTCAATCCTCAGTACCTAGAATGGTGCCTGGTTCACTGCATGCACTCAAGCAATATTTGTTGAATGGATAGGAACAGATGAATCTGGTATCCTAACCATAGGATCCCAGGACCAGAAAGTACAGACAGTATTTTCTGTTTTGTCTAATAGAACAGTATTGAAGGACAGCTACTAACCTTGCCCAGTTCACATTCTTACTCCTGACATCAGACAGAAGGGGCTATAAGAAAGTTGAATCATCTATTTTATTTTATTTTTTATTTAAAAAAAAATTGTTTATCTTATTTTTTATTGGGGTATAGTTGTTTTACGATGTTGTATTAGTTTCAACTGTACAGCGAAGTGAAGTAGAATTCCCTGTGCTGTACTTCAATAAAAAAATAAAAATTAAAAAAAAAAGAAAAGAAAGAAAGTTGAATGAGAGAGGACTGCTGGGAAGACAGACCAGAAGCCACAGAGAACTATTGTAAAGTATATGTAGCTGTGTCTGTCCTTTAAGTGTTCGTTCAATAGCAAAAATAAAGACAAAAACCTCAGTCGGAAGTACAACTTCTATGTAATGCAATTTTTCCTGAGAAAATGCATGAGCTGCAGTCTTTCAGCAGAAGAAAATTAATTCCAATTCATTTGAATGTTGTTTCCCATACCATCGCTTTGAATCCCCAAACTGCTCGAAAAGGATTAGAGTTCCTTCCTCCGATACTTCCAAATGTTCTTCAGGGTTTCTAGAAATTTTGGGGAAATGCTATAAAAAGGAACATTTCAATTCATGAAGCAGATGCTGAATGATAACTCTCAGCTACAATTTAGATGCTGAAATATGTTATTTGGTTTCAAGTGGCGTTATTCGTTGTAATGTATCAAAATATGGGCGATCTTTTTAATATTAACACCAGGCTACAGAAATAGGGATCCAAGTTGGAAAGCTAGAAAGCGGTTAGGTTTGCTCTAGGAACAATGTAAGTAAAAAAGATAAGGACTTCAATTATATCTCTTCAAAACTATCATTCTAAAAAGAGAGTATGTAAGTTTTCCAAATCTTTCTTCCTACTCTTCCTCCAACTTCCTAAATTCTGAGTACTACTGAAAAAAATCTTTTGTTGTCATCTATGGAATGATTTAGAAATGAATGTTATTTTGTTGTTGTTACTAAGTCTGTACTTGCTATAAATATGACAGAGTCTTGTTATTCCATCAAAAAAGTCATCATTTAAATTACTCTTCACACATTTTAATGCTGTTCTGCATTGTTCTTAATGAAGGGCGGACCTGTGAGATAATATGCTATTGTTGGCTGAATTCTAGCTATTTTGTATGAGTTATACGTTTGACAAGAATTCAGGGGCTTCAGAAGAAGCAATTCATTTACATAGAAAATGCTTTGCTATAAGCAAACCAAAGCATGCCTGTATTCAAATATAGAAACATGTTGGTGGATTGATAGTTTTATATTGTGGAGAATACACACGCACACACACACAGACACACCCACATGCACATATAGTCTCTTGGGCTCAGATGATGAAGATAAAATGTATTTTGTAATTGAGGGTATTTGAGTTCCTTTCATTCACACTTGATCTTTTGTTCAGTTGTTATATTTATTTTTGTATGTTTCATACCTATTTAATCAGTTAATTGATGAGCACTTAATGAGAATACCATACTTACCACTCTATAGGTATTTTCTCATTTAAGCCTCAAGAAATAATTAAAGATAAATTTTGACCTGTTTTACTTATGAGGAAACAGGTTTTGAGGCTCAAAAGTTTTTTGTTTTTTTTTTGCGGTACGCGGGCCTCTCACTGTTGTGCCTCTTCCCGAACCGGGGCACGAACCCGTGTCCCCTGCATCGGCAGGCAGACTCTCAACCACTGCGCCACGAGGGAAGCCCGAGGCTCAAAAGTTTTTAAGTGACAAAGACAGGCTAACTTAAAATATATCCCCATGCTATGAACCAGTATTCTGTACTTTCTACCCTCGAATGAAGGGGTAAGGAGGTTGGGCCCAAATTTTGTTGCTCTTTCTGAAATTAAATAATCAGAAATTATGTACATAGTTTCCAGACTTACTATGCTTTATTTAAATCTCATATCACTTTTGAGTACAAATGAGGAAGCATGCTTTAAATAATGTACAAGTTTTATGGTGAAACTCTCAACTAAAAAAATGAATTATTTTTATACTTTTAGATTATATTTAGACATGTTGAAGAAATCTGACATTTGAGCAATTTTCCAATTAATCTAATATAGAAAGCAAATCTGTAAAGAATCATTAAAATCCTTCAAATTTAGAAATGATAAGGATAGGGCTTCCCTGGTGGCACAGTGGTTGAGAATCCGCCTGCCGATGCAGGGGACGCGGGTTCGTGCCCCGGTCTGGGAAGATCCCACATGCTGCGGAGCGGCTGGGCCCGTGAGCCATGGCCGCTGAGCCTGCGCGTCCGGAGCCTGTGCTCCGCAACGGGAGAGGCCACAACAGTGAGAGGACCGCATACCGAAAAAAAAAAAATGATAAGGATAATTGATTTAACTTTTCATTTTAACCCTTGAAAGCAGCCTAAATCAGGAAGGAATTTATAAATTGAATACTCTGAGTGAGTACAGATACCTGAGGCTAGGTCTTATATTTCGTTCCAGAGCTCTTTCTCACAGCTCCTTAAATCTGTCGTCTTTCTTGATTCATTTTGATTTTCAAACCTGAGCTTAATTTACTTCAGTGTGTTCTCAAAGAGCATGGAAAGGAGAAACAGTTTTCTTTTAACTTTTATTCATTATGGCCAATTGAAACTAAATAATCAGTCAATTGCTACCTGATCCATGACCACCAACATTGATTGGCTTCTGACTTTTCAGAGAGAGAGGGAGCAAAGCCTAAAATGTTTAGATGAGATGGTTTAGGAAAAGTTGTTGGAAATAATAGGTCCTATTTCTCTACTCAGCTCAGACACACATCCTTCGTGACTTTGGGAGAGATGATGGTCATCAATAGTGCAAAGTTTATCCAGGAATTGTAAGCTGGGACAAAGCGAGAGAGAGGCATGGACATATATACACTACCAAACGTAAGATAGATAGCTAGTGGGAAGCAGCCGCATAGCACAGGGAGATCAGCTCGGGGCTTTGTGACCACCTAGAGGGGTGGGATAGGGAGGGTGGGAGGGAGGGAGACGCAAGAGGGAAGAGATATGGGAACATATGTATATGTATAACTGATTCACTTTGTTATAAAGCAGAAACTAACAAAAAAAATGTTACCATAAAATGCTTTTTAAAATAAAAATGTTCTTTGTTTCTCTAAAAAAAAAAATAGTGCAAAGTTTATCCAGGAATTATGACTGAAAAGATGGAAGTCACTTTGTTTTTTTTTAAAATGTTGAGCCTTCTTTTCATTTGTTTATTTTTATTTTTGCCTGTGTTGGGTCTTCGTTTCTGTGCGAGGGCTTTCTCCAGTTGCGGCGAGCAGGGGCCACCCTTCATCGCGGTGCGTGGGCCTCTCACTATCGCGGCCTCTCTTGTTGCAGAGAACAGGCTCCAGACGCGCAAGCTCAGTAGTTGTGGCTCACGGGCCTAGTTGCTCCGCAGCATGTGGGATCTTCCCAGACCAGGGCTCGAACCCATGTCCCCTGCATTAGCAGGCAGATTCTCAACCACTGCGCCACCAGGGAAGCCCGGAAGTTACTTTCAATAAAGAAAATTATAAATCTATTAGTGGTGCATTCTATTCAATTATGTATACTCTTGTCTATCCCTTAATTGAAAGCTATTAAAGTATCTGTGAGAGAGGAGACAAATTGAAAATACTGTGTCTGAGAGAGAGCAGCCAGAGAGAATGGATTAGGTACTCTCTGCCCCTAATTTTTGCCTCAGATTTGAGGAGCCACAAGTCCTGAGAGGTAGGAGGAGAGTGACAAAAGTCGGCAAGGAAGAAACAAACCTCTTCTTTGAGGTTTTGGAACAGGAATGGATAGTTGTAATGTGGTACACACATTTTGCTCAGCTAATCTGTGACTCTTACACATCCAGTACAGGATATTAAAGGAAACAAATGGGGCTCTAGATTGAGGAGTTTGTTTCTAACTTACTTTTGGCAAAAACTTGAAATGGAAAACCCTGGAGGGATATTGAGGATTTTGACCATTTTTGACCTTCTGATGCCCAGGAGTCCCATAAGACTGAGTTCACATTGTGCTTATCTGCTGACCCTTTTCATAGAAAATCCACACAGACAGACATTCCCATCATACTCTAATTTTGTCAAATAGCAGTAAAAAAAAAAAAGTATATGCTCTAAATACATTAAAATTCTTTTGTTCTTTAGAAATTAGTTCTGAAAATTATACCCGTAGTTCTCTGGTATCTCATGAAGAGAATATATCTTCCTTATTTTCATTCATCCATTATTTCACAATTTTTTTGGAAACTCTCCTATGCAAGATAGTTTTTAAATACCCATTCATTCCGAATAGGGAGACCGTAAATAAATTTAAGTGCATTGTTGAAAATAGTATACCTCTATGCCCAATCTAGGTGAAAATCACCTTTAAAGTTTAACAGTTTTATTTTTGATCTTGTCAAATTTATCATCTGGACAGTGAGTTACCAGGTGCACATGGAGGCCATTCATGACACATTCATCTAATTTCTTTTTCTCTTGCAGTCCAGACTACAAAAACTATAATTTTAATTGCTCTTCTGTTTGCAGTGTACTGAGATTGATTACTGGAGCTCTCACTTCCACCTTCATTGGCACTGGCAGACCTGGAGGTGAGATCCCTTTCCAGTTCTTTGAAATGCTCTGACAGAATCTATCTTCTAGTTTTATGTCCACAACTCTACCTTTCATGGTCACTTATTTCATCTCACTGCTGAATATTTCATTTTAAAAAGAATGGAAGTGTGTGTGCTTTTAGCCTAATCTAGTCAGGTGTTCTCTGGCTGTTCGTTTTGCAATAAAGCAGGCAGTAATGCCCTCACTGGCAGTAAAGAAGAGTGCTTTCCTTTCTTTTCATGTCATCACTTCTGCTTATTTCTGCGAATATTGAATGATCACTATCCTTCACATTCTGTTTTACTAATGATTTCGTGTTATAAACACATATACGTATAAATGGTGGGTATTAAATATGTATACACACAGAAATAAAAATTATATTTTTAAGAGTAAAGTCAGATCTCATTTTACATGCATTAAGAAAGGTTCTAGTAGGAAGTATTCTGATATTTCCCTATTTCTCATCTCTGCAAGGGAGGTAGACAGAGGTCACATACAGTGGTGATAAGCATGTGCTGGAACCAGGGTCTCTGAATTTTATTCCTGTCTCTGCCACTAAATTTGCTGTGTAACCTTGGGCAAGGTATTTCAATCTCCTATCTCTCAATTCCTTCATTTGTAAAACTGGGAAAACTACCAATATGAAAAGGTTAAAATGAAGAACAAATCAAGGAATTAAAGCACTGAAGATAGTCCTTGACACCTGTTAAGTATGAAATAAAAGTTAGATGTTATGCCTGTAGTAATGATAAGCTTCCAACAAATAAATGCCGATTATGAAAAATGGCTTTATGGCTTGATGTTCCCGAAAGAAATGTACCATCCATAGAGTATGTTTGTTTTGTTCACTCTTGTTTTTTCTGGCATCTAGAACAGTGCTTAGACATATAATTGGTGTTCAATGTATAATTTGTGATAGATTGAATTAAAGAATGAGTGAATGAATGAATGAGGGATGGTTAGCTGAAGGAGAGCGTGTGTGTATATATATAATTTATATTTAGAATATGTGGATAATTTATATATTTTATGAAAAATAAAGTCATTAGTATAGTTATTAACTAATAATTGATTAGCTACTTTACTTTGAAAATCTGAGGACAGGAAATTTTGACCAAAGAAAATTTAAGGACAGACAACTAAGTGTTGGTTAAGAAATCCATACGCCTAGGAGGACTTTAGGACCTGAGGAGATGTTATACTGTGGAAAGGACACTTAAGCAAGTGCCACAGGCCTGAAATCCTAATCTTAGCTCTGCTGTGAACTGTCCTTAATGCACTTAACAGCTCTGAAACTCTGTTCTCTATTATATAATCTGCTGGTTTCACTGGGTTGGTGAAATCAGTAAAAATTGTAACATTCCTGGTTGATTTCTGAGGAACTAGAATGAAGTAACTCCTTTTTCTTCCTCCTTACGCCGCTTGCCAACACATTTACCAGGCCCCTCTCCCCTCTGAAAGTCTCTTAAGATTGTATAAATCACATATCAGCTGGGTTTATCTACCTGGTAAGATCTAGGTTAAGATAGACTTGAATTCCTATTCCATGCCCATTTCTATGGAAAAGCATAAAGTCCTTCCTAGAAATTGTATGAATTCCTCACACTGTCCTGTTTTTTCAGTCACTTCTTGCTCTTCCTACATTCTTTTCTCCACTCCTGCATCGGGCAGCTATTGGTTTATCTACAGCGTCAACCCGAATGTGGTGTGGAGTTAGGAGCAATGCACTGTAACAGTAACACAAGCTATCTCATGTTGCATATTTGACATTCTTGTGTTAAAAAAAATCCTTTTTATCTTGTATGTGGCTCAGTGAACCTCTTTCGGCTTTCCTGTTCTCTCCATCCCTAAATCCCTTTTCTCTGGCAATGCCCATTGATGTAATTATTTCTTTGTAGTCTCTTCTCTTGCTACTCCATCCTCGAAAGCCAGTTACCTTCGACCTCAGGCTCCTTATCAGAACGTTTTCCTGAAAATGACAATTGTTCTTTCTGAACTATTTTGTTACTGACAGTGATTTTGCACTTTCAGAATTTGGTCAAGCATACTCATTGTTTTGTTTCAGTGAAATGGGAGAAAAAGTAATGTGTTTAACCTCCTTGTTTTGCCTTAAAGTAAATCACTGATTTCTCCTCATTTCCCTTTTCTCCTTCCTGCATGCTCATTGACAGCTGTGGTGGTCATCTGTCTGAGAAATCGTAAAGGATGCCATACAGTAAGATAGAAGGACCTTGAACCCCAGTGCTTTTGAAAGGCAGAACAATATGAGCCTGCACTTCCTTGTGAAAAAGGAACAGGCTTCTGTTTTAGTTGATCTCCTAAGCTGTGTCTCTGTTACATGTGGCGAACACATCTTAGTTAGTATATTAATCATCTTCCTGATAGGCTGTTTGCTTTTACAATTGCTAAATTCTTTCCTTAAGGCAATTAGCCAAGAATTATCAGTTGTGGGGCTTCCCTGGTGGCGCAGTGGTTGAGGGTTCGTGCCCCGGTCCGGGAAGATCCCACATGCCGCGGAGCGGCTGGGCCCGTGAGCCATGGCCGCTGAGCCTGCCCGTCCGGAGCCTGTGCTCTGCAACGGGAGAGGCCACAACAGTGAGAGGCCCGCGTACCGCAAAAAAAAAAAAAAAAAAAAAGAATTATCAGTTGTTTGAGTGAATTTTTTGACTGGGGGTTGGGGAAGACAAAGATAAGAAAGAAAATTCCAAGAAACAGTTGTATATTTTATTTAAAATATGATACTGCCATGTTGACAGGAATGGAGCATCTATATTGAAATCTGAAAGGACTGCTACAGGCTTATCTGTAAGAAGAAAGCAGAGCACCCTCTATGCTTTGAGATGTCTTTTTTTACCTGCAATAATGTATGCCATTTAAAAATATGTCTCAGGAATTAATTGAGAAAATTAAAAAATGATGAAAATAGCAATTTAAAAACATTATTCTGTTACTCCAAAAATGGTAGGAACATCCTACTCATTTGATTGGCTTCAAGTGTTGAGTTTCATTAAAAAAAAAGTAACTAGGGTACTATCTCCTGAGCCAGCTAGAACCAGATTTGTACATTAATTTGTTAATTCACCTTTATAGCAGTCTAACAGTATAGTTCTTGCCACCTATAATTTTAAAAAAGCAAAGATATAGCCATATCCTTGGATGATTCCAGAACATTCAAGGATATTCAGTGCTGAGCTATCTACTAAGGGATGATGAATACAAAACAGCATGAGAGGCAGTGAACATTGGGACTGATAATCTTCTGTGTACAGAAATATTTTTATTTGAAAGTTATAGTTAATCTTTCTAGGTTAGCAGAATAACCGTACAGTTAGAGCAAGAGATACTGGAAGAGCCTTGGATGTCAATCAAAGACAATTGATAATCAATCATCATAAATTAAACAATGGGTTGTACATATCAATCTGCTCCTCAGAAGTAGAGCTGGGAAGATAAAGGTGACAACATTAATGTGGGCAGTGAGAAGGGGAGTTACACTTCAGGCATCATGTCTTGTCACATGTGTGTCATGGAGCATGCTTCTGTCACTCAAAAGGTAAATAAAATTATGTCATCCAAGAAAGTAGTTTTACAAAGAAAGTAGTTTTAAGATGTTTGCTTTCAGTTGGCAGCTAAACATTAAGACATGCTTTGAAAACCAAAGAGTGAATGATAAGGAACAGTTTGGAGTAACTGCTATCCGGATCTGTAGAAACTATCAATATAAAGAAGACTCATACATAGAACCTTGGAGTAATCATGGGAATTGGGGAGTACAGATCTACATGTCTTGAGTAGCCACTGCCCTCTAATTTCTCTTGATGTGCTGTGAGAAATAGTTGGTGAAGAAGGTGGTAACGGAGAGAAATGCTTTTGGAAGGACCAGTTAGTCTACAGAGTCATAGATAGGATTTAACCTTCAGCTGTCACACTCAGTATCTTTTGAGAAAAACGTAAACCACATACTCATTGCAAATTATGTGTATGTTAATGTACAGAAGGAGCTGTGGGCTGGACCACCATCCAGAGTCAAGAAGGTGAGCCAGCATGTCAGATACAACAGTGTGAGCTTGTAGCAGTGCCCACCCTTTACCCAACTTCAGAACAGAAAAATGACTACTCCTTCATTTCTACCTTTCCATTCTCATGCACATTTCTCTGGTGAACAACTCTGGAACAATACAGGGAAGGTAATTTTTCAAAAACTACTTGTAACTTAGCTAAATTGACACAGTACAGAGCCACCAAAGTTCATATGCTCACATCTCTTTCTAAAAATTTTAATCATGGTTAACTTCCAAATAAAGACAGTGGCTAATTTTACCTTACATGACACATAACCCATGTACAGCCAAAAACATGCCAACCTCCAGTTAAAGAACATATGAAGTCACTTAATCCATCTTCATTCAACTTTGGTATTTTGTAACATTAATATTGAAATATTGTACAAGGCTAACCACTATTAATTCATCTTATGTTAGTGGTAAGTAACTTGCTAATAGAAAGGAAAAAATGGAAACATTTGATTAATACATACTGAAATATATTCACATCAAAATAAGGAAAAAATACTCATAATTATTACAATTTTAGTTTCTGCAATCTTTCAGGTCATTTCTGCAGGTGGTCATATAGCGAACCCAGTGAGAAAAGTTGTCTATCCCTTCATGACAGAAGAACTACTTTTTTTTCTGTTAGGCATCCCACTTCCCTTTGAACTCAGCAAATACCAGACTGGCTGTGTTTCCTTGCCTGTGGACTTACCTGAAGGATCTAGACTAAGATTCTCAGATATAGTAAGGACAGCCAATTAAATTTGAATTTTTGTTAAGTAATTAAGTATTTTTGTTATAAATATTTGTTAAATATTGCATGAGACACCTTTAAACTTAAAAAGTTATTTATCTGAAATTCAATTTTAACTGGAAACCTTGTTATTTGCTAAATCTGGCAACCATTCACTAGGCCATTTGTAGTTCTGCCTGTATTAAGT